GCTAATAAACATTGCTGGACTGAATTTACATGGTCTCCTGGAGTTCCTTGGCTAGGCCTGACATCAGCCATGCAATTCCAGGACAAGGTACAACTGTGCTCTGATACCCTGCCTCTGCTTCTCCCCCCTCCCCACATACACACACCGCAACACAGACACTCTGAAGCACCTTTTGGCCTTTGAACCCAAAGTGCTGCACCGCCCAACAAAATTCTCATCTGGTATGGGATCAAACGAGGCCCAAGCTAGTGCAGAACTTCAGCAAAAAATGTTCCATGATGAATCACAGGGCAGCTGTGTTAGGAGATGTGTGCCGATTTACGGGCAAAAAACATTTTATGCCTTTCATATGATAATTCCAGCAAACACATGAACAACTGTTTTACAGTGCTGCAGGGATAATTTTCTTATGTCAGGCAATCCTCTAATAGTTGGAGGCAAAGCGGAAAATGATACACCTGTCACACATTCTCTGTGATTTTAAACTTGCATTGTTTGCTTCTAATTTTCCTGGAATGGATTCAAGTAGTCTTTCATGCACAAATCCACAGCTGTCCCATGTTGATTTTAAGGGCATTGTTTACTACTCACAAACAGCTCAAAAAGCACACCAAGGCTCCATTGATGCCAGGCAGGAGTTTCAGGCTAATGCTGTGTCTGGCACAGCATTTTTTTTTTCTGAATCTGTCTTGCTTTATTCTACTTCTCCCAATATTTATCTTTCCCAGTCCTTTCTATCCCCACCATTGCAAGCTTGGCTTTTCTTTTCTTTTTCATAGACCATTTCCATTCCATTCAGGAGTGGTGCATACCTAGCAGATGGACAGAGATGCTGCTGTTTTCCTTTGGATTTCAATCTACTTTTTAGCCCCCTTTTTCCAAGACTTAATGCAACTGTACTGAGGATATGGTTACATTAAGAAATGTAGGCACTCCTCCGGTTGTTTCAATGAGTCCCTATGTGAACAGAAGCTGAAACGACCTTTTTCTGCACATTTGCATGCATGTTTACTATTTAGATGCAGTTGTTCACAGATTCAAAATAGGAAAATATTGACTGTGGCAGATGCAAAACTTTGGGCACTCTTCCAGTTAATTCAAAATTTATTTCTCTTTCCCGATCTCCTTCATCTTTACTACGAGGTTCTTAATAAGGCCCCAAAAGGTGATTGACTAAATTAACCAGGGGAAGATAAATCCCAGGTGAACAAATACTCTGATCTTTAACTTCTCAGGTTGTAGACATTGTTCTGACTACTTTCAACAGCCATGTACTCTAAGTAAGACTTAGAATATTTGAAATGAAGATAATTCACTCTTACAAAGAAGGGGAAGGCTATATGCGTGGTTTTCAGATAGCAATTTCAGCTATGAGAATCACTGTTAAGAAATGGAAACTACATGGGATGTTCAATCAAGGCAGGAGCTGGAAGATCAAGAAAAATCTCTGTTGGAACTGCCTGAAAACTGGTGAGATCTGTAAAACAAAACCCACAAATCACTGCAAAGAATCTGCTGAAAAGTTCACTAGAGTAGTTGTCCATAGGTTCCCAAGCAGCATTTCTTATACAGTGGTGACCTACATGGAAGAGTTGCAAAAGGAAACCCTTTCTCCATCATCATCTAAAGTAAGCAGAAGAAAACTTTCAGAAGCTTCAGATGTTTGGGAACAAAGTGCTATAGATTGATGGAACAAAAAGTTGAACTGTTTGGTCTGTTGCCACTTCTTGAAACATCACCCCTTTTGGCCACCAATATCAGAAAATGAGATTAAATTTATCATAAATGACTTGAAGAGTAATAAAGCCCCAAGGGAGGACTTTCTACTGGTTGAGCTATTCCAAAGATACCCCAATTGGTGGGGCCCTCTTTTGGCAGAGTTATTTACACATATAAGTAATACCTGCCACATCCCAGTCAGGTAGAAGATGGCAATAGTAGTTCCTATATACATACATACATACATACATACATACATACATACATACACAAAGGGAATAAAAAGCATCCTAGCAATTACAGGCCCGTTAGTTTAATAGATATTGTTGCTAAAATATATGCTAGGTTCCTCTTGAGTAGAGTTGAGAGAAAAGTGTATTCTCATAGAACAAGCAGGCTTTAGACAGAGCTGATCTATTACTGACCATTGTTTTGTCTTGAACCACCTAATTACAAAATATGTCAGTAAGGGGAAACAACTGTTTGCTGCCTTTATAGATCTTAATGCAGCATTTGACACAGTAAACAGAGAAATATTATGGAGGAAATTGACTACCCTCAAAAAGGAATCCAGACTGCTGGCACTGATCAAAGCCCTTTACACAAGCACTTGTTTGAGAGTACGGTTTGGGGTAAATGGGGCCATGACAAGTAGGATTGATACTTACAAAGGGGTAAGACAAGGGTGCATACTTGCACCATTGTTATTCACTCTATACATTAATGGCTTACCAGGACTGATGAAGGATCCTGAAGTACATATCCCTAAGGTACTAAACAGACATTGTAACACCTTGCTATATGCTGACAATATGATTTTATTATCATTCTTGCAAGTTGGGTTGCATAGGTTGTTAAGAAGACTTGGCTCCTACTGCCATAATTTTCTGATTATTAATAAATCAAAATAAAAAATTCTGGTCTTTGGAAAATGACATCATAGACATAGATGGCTATTAGAAGTGAGCCAATAGAGCAAGTTAACACCTTTCCTTATCTAGGAGTAGTCTTCTCTGAGACCGGATCTTGGCTTCCTCATTATCAAAGGAGCTCACTTAGAGCAAAGGCGCATGTGAATTTACTGTTCAAATTAATACATCACAGCTACCCAGGTTCCTTAGCCCCAATTATTAAAGTATACAAGGCTAAGATTACTCCTATGCTCTTATATGGAGCTGAGGTTTGGGACTTAAAAGAGGTACTATTACAACAAACACAATCACAGCATCTGAAAAGTATCTTGGGTGTGGATAAAAGGACTTCAGCTGCTGCAGTTAGAGCCAAATTGGGAATTTATACAATTTGTTATTTATCTAAAATCAGGGCATACAACTATTGATGCAAAATCAGTGCAATGGAAACTGGCAGACTCCCAAAATTGTGTCTGATAGAACAGACAAAATCTCAATTACAGACTTCTTGGATTGTACAACTGACAATTATATTAGAAATTGTGGTCTCCTTGTCT